GCAGAAGTTTAGGCTTCGGATGATTTTTTACGTGCATGTTACTGTTAGGCGTTTTTATCGAGTTTTCCTTTCTGTACTGGTATCTTCGCACGGCAAATGAATACTGCCCTGCATGCCAATTTGATGCTGTCTTGCAACCGCCGAAAGATATGTATGGGGATTAGAACACGGACAAAAGTACTGTGTTGAAACCAGAGGCAGATGTAACACAAATAATTAAATCAAAGGTTATTGTGAATCGAATAATTCATAACAAAGACACGCATATTGCTGATGACTCTAATAATGCGTTTAACGTGTTTTCATTCGGAAATGCGTCACCAAGTAATAAGAGAAAATCTTTACGTCAGACAAAGGGAAACATCCTCTTCACTTCAGACGCTAGCGATGATGTAAAACATCGATACATTTCCTTGTGTTTTTGTCACCAGAACAAAAATAAACATCGATGTTTTTACCAAAAGTGCATCGACGATCAACAACTGTCTACTTGTCTGATATCCGACGGTGTCGTCTGCCAGGTTTTAAATAGGCTGACGTAGCAGTAGGTCGAAACAAAAAACACTCGTCCTTGAGAGTTGTACCTGACGAAGGTCATTCCTTTTGGAGATGGAGATGTTGTCGACATTGGCCGAGAGTGAATGAGTTATCGTGTATCACAGGACTTATATCCGCTTTTTACTAGGCCAGTGATCCCGCTGAGACCAAACATGTAAAAAAAATTGGAAGCCTAAACCTCAACCTGGAGAGTAACCTGTTCCTACCGCTTCGCCAAACACATACAGATTGCAGGACTCTGAAACACAGGGCAGTGTAAGACTGTCCAACTCTCATAGACAACGGAAAATACCAATTCAGTCCTAATCAAACAGTTTAATCACATTGTATGTGTCACCCCAGTCCTATCAGAGGCGTAACAATGTCAGGCAACGACCTGGATCATTTGATAATTACTTATCTAATTAGCGCTGATTGGGTGGGAGGGGTAGCTATGGAGGCTCCTGCTGGAGGTGTTAACAGGGGGAATTAGGGTCACCTCTGGGGGCTTGTCCGGATTAGGAGCCACCCTTCTGAGGTGGACGTCAGGAAAATGTTCAACGGCGCGTTTCGATCTCCATCTTGGATTTCTTTTTGCTTCACCATCTTGAAATTCATTTTGCTTGCCTCTGACGGGAAAGAAAGGAAGAAAACCTTTGTCTTAACAGCTTCCCTTTGCAACTTTTGAAAGATTGAAGACATTCCTAACCCGAAAGTCCCAAACGTCGCGTTGCCTTTAATGACACAGTGAACTGTTAAGTGATATGAATGAATGAATGTGTTTTAATGTACCTGAACGTGTTTTATTGATTTTAATGTGTCATATCTGATAACCTTTTAAACTTGTAAGATCAACACAATTCAGACTTTTGCATGTGAGCTGTTTATAAAGACTGAGTTTTTTGGCCACCAGAATGCTATCATGTTTCCGCGGAAGCCAGTCTGCCGAAGCTCGCTGTCTCCACCTGCCCGTACTTGAGGCTCCCGTGCGCCGAGGGCGGCCCTTGTTTACGGAGCTGACAGGGGCTCCGTATGTTAGCCAATTTGAGGGTCATTCAGAGCGGGCTTAGTGGATTAGCGGTAGTAATGGGTAATCCCATTGTGGAGTAATTGGGAGGGCGGAGAAGCGGGGAGGGAGGCCCGCGGTGATAATCCGCGCCATTCTGCACGGTGCTCGGGGACATCCGGGCCGCGGGACGTGAACACAGCGCATACACTTGTCTCCGGGACCGGTCACCACAAAGTTCTGCTCAGGCAGATTTTGTAGCCTCGACCAGGCTTCGGGAAGCGGCTGGCAAGAGTAGAAAATTGCCATTTAGAAAGATGATATGCCAAGCTAGTTAGTCCACCTGAGAGTACAGTTTGACAATTTCTAGCCGCATTCCGAAGCCTGTTAGAGGATAAGGTTTTTGCTCTGTGAGGTATTGCCTGTGCCTGGACTTTGTGGCTAAGGTTAGTGTCAGAGTTTTGGTAAGCGTTAGAGTTAGTGTTGTTGTTCTGGTTTAGCCAGGGATTTAGGCCTTACACATGTATAACGTCCAGGGCAGGGAGTCTCAAAGCAGATGTAAGGGTTCGGCTGGTTTTGAGCGACCTGGTCTCTTCTTGAAAAACAAACAAACAAAACAGCAAAAGAAAACAATCGATTCAGCACTGTGATAACCAGAAAGAATAAAATATATCATACATATTTATGCGGTACTCTTTGACCTTCATTCGTACATAGCTAGAGGCCGCCTCTCTCCCCCGGGAGTGACGTGAGATACAGATAAGGAAATACATAGCTGCCCCTCCCCCCACAATTACCCACCATACAACGTTTAATTATAAATTATGGGACGTCCCATGGCTTCTGAGACATTTCTCCAAGATAAGGAATCCCTGAAAACACATTGTTTTTGCTCTGTTTCTTTCTCCTCTTCTTCTCCAAACAATGACCTCTGACCTGGTCAATGACTTGAATCAGACCGTCTCTCACCATTGTAACTGGTGTTAGGATACATCATGTTGCAATTTTATAGTAGGAGGGATTTAGACTGCTGTCACCATATATTTGAATGTGTTTGAGTAAGAATTAACAAAGACCATATGCTAAGGTAAACATTATGCATTTGTTTTGCAAATGTTACCTTTCTAGTATTGTGGTTTGGTATTTTCAGCCGTCACAGCTGCCTCACCCATCGGAGTTTCATGGCTGTACCAGTAACGCTAGATGTTTGATTAATTACTAGTAGTTCGCAACCTCCATGTTACTGCAGCTGGCGACCTATGCGTCGTTTCACGCTGCCAGAACACACAGGAGGAGCCTATTTCACACAACAAAATAAAGAAGCCTTTTTGCATGACTTTGTACACATACGCGCACACACACACACGCGCACACAGAACAATATATCAAAGTTTTCATTATATAACAGATAAGTACTGTAGTCTTTCCACTCCCCCAGAACAACAGTGAATGCTGCCACCGTAACATGCAGTACTCTCAACTTCCGCACGATGTCACGTGCGCGTGTGTTTGTGTGGTATGTATGTGTGTGTGTCAGCGCCAGGGAAATGCGTGTTTGTATATGTGTGAATAGTGTGATGATCGATGTTCAGCATGAAGGAGGGATTCGATTATTATTTCGGTATTGACGATACCGTCCAGAAAATGTCCCAATGAAACCTGTCCCTTTGTTCGAAAAGTTGTTCTGGAACCGCAAACTCCCTGTGTTCCAGACTAGCAACGGCGTTCGATGTGGTTTGCAATGCATTGTTTACACTCTTGACTGCTCCGACCGAAACACTAGTCTCCACCAGACTTCTTTTGCAGGCTGAAAAAATCGTAGAAATCAACCTTTAAAGGGTATTAATTGGCGAGAGAAGGTAGCCGGCCATCGACGATCAAATTGGCCTGCAATATGAGACTAGAGGTGCTACTTCTCCCACGTTTTCGGCCTGTAACGTGCCGGGTGAGCCGCAGGACGGACGCCTCTGCTGTTCAACGCCGCTGTGATCTCACTGTTGCTTCTTGTAGCTGTGACGACGGTTTGCTACATTATCACTTTATATCTCTAAACCATTTTTATAGATGTGAAAATATGTACTACTAGTGGGATCTGTTACCATCGACCACTTGTTGCCGTTGACGTTGCCTGTTTTTCTTGCATGAAGTATCGTGATTTCAGCCTCATAACTGGAAGAAGTTTAGCCGCTTAATTCTTCACAGAACATGATTTTAACACGATTTTAAGTAACGAAGTATGTCCACCTAGGCCTTGCTTGTACCCATACTGTGTTACTATGGACGAATGTGTATATTTCAGGCGGTTACTGAGACCGTCACAGTTCTATGGTACTACAATAACATCCCTGCAGATACTACATCTGCCAACCTTAGAGAAGTTTGAGAGGTACACGTACAGCTGGTACATGTTACCGAAATACCCGAGTTCTATAAGCTTCTGATGTGGAGTTATACTTTTAATGGAAAAAGAATGATTATTGTTGTTTGTTTCTCAATTAACACAAAACCCCATGCCAAGATGACGACCCAACATCAGATAATGTTGAAGTTCACAATTCATGACACTCTCGGTAATGGATTGGTACATTGGACTCGATAAAACCAACCATTACCACGTAGAAAGTATCTGTTCCTGAATTTGAAGCTGTTCCAACTAGATACCAGAGAGCCTGGACAGGATGTACATGTCACATGTGTTTCTACGGCACCAGTATAGTGCGAGTAATCTCTCTTCAAACCTCTAACAAAACCCACAGGAGGGTTGTTTCGTCAATAAATTTTGTTGCCACGTATTTGTAAATAACGGCTAGTCCTCTGTTACCGCCATGTATTCTCCCGTTGGTTAAACATGATTTAAACGAAAGATGCAGATTCAATTGCAGTGTGACTTGTTGGTTGTGACTTTGCACAATGAGAGACATTTAAGATAAGGACATATGTGGATTGCGTTCAGCACCAAGGACAGGTGTGTTTGTCCTGAATGTGGCTGGTGTTCAGCACCAACGACAGGTGTGTTTGTCCTGAATGTGGCTGGCGTTCAGCACCAAGGACAGGCATGTTTGTCCTGAATGTGGCTGGCGTTCAGCACCAAGGACAGGCATGTTTGTCCTGAATGCGGCTGGCGTTCAGCACCAAGGACAGGCGTGTTTGTCCTGAATGTGGCTGGCGTTCAGCACCAAGGACAGGCATGTTTGTCCTGAATGTGGCTGGCGTTCAGCACCAAGGACAGATGTATTTATCCTGTGTGTTGATGGTGTTGGAACTGTTCCTTTGCAGATTCAGAGCATCCAATATCAGCAGACATATGATATATCAGACTACGAGTTATCCATTTCAAATCATCCTTTTCCCATTGATAACCGAAGCATCGTTGAAATGTGAAATAACGTGTGTTCGTGTATAATGGTACCCTATACCTTGACATACAAGGGAAAAGTTACAGCTGTAATTGTTGCTTATGTAGATTTATATGGAAGCTAAACTGGATAACGCAACACAACACATTTCATGCAGTGACTGAGTCAGTGGAGACAGTGAGTTATTTTTCCTCCAGCCTGTTGTCCTGCATCTGCGCAGTAGCGTCCCCCTCCTGGGTCCACGCCCCCTCCCGTTCCACCTCCCTCTGCAGCTGCGCAGTAGCCTCCTCCAGCCGGCACGCCTCCTGGTTCCACTGATGGTTCCTCCGCTCAGCCTCGTCCACGCGTCTGCGCAGGCGCGTCAGCTGGGCGTGGTTACGCTTCTGTAAGAATAACAAGTACTATCTTATAACGTTATAACCCAAGTGAGCTTGTTTTAAACTCCAAGAAAACTCACTCCTAACGTCACGTTTATGTAAGGTAATAGTGCTTGTAGCCCTGTAGGGGCCCTGTAGCTACCCTGCCTCTGGACCAAGAGGTTGTGAGTTTGAATCCCGGCTGTTCCGCTCATTTGACATGCACGCTACTCTAGAAAGGGATGCAGTTCTTAGGTCGGATCATTAAGCTGATCAGTGTGCTTGTCGAAAACAGCTAGGGGAATTTCCCGGTACAATGTAGCTGGAGATATTACACATGGAATCTGTCTTATCTGACACGACTAGTGGACGACTAACTCTGTTTTGGATCGGAGAGTACAGTTGATCGACTACAACTTGTTCCGTTGTCTCACCCTAAGCACCTCCATGTCCTGTCGGAGCTGCATCTGCCGCTCCTGTTCCCGGTTCACCTGACCCAGCTTTAGCGCCACGCCCTGAAGCAGACAGACACCCCGATTCACAGATCGTGTCTGGATGGATCATCATGCAAGCAGAGCTCTTTGATCGCAACAATGATCAATTTGCCAACCAAATAATGCAGTCTCATTCTTTTATTGTAACAGCTTACGTTTGTACCTACATCATAAATCTAACAGCTCGCCAATTATGAAAGTCACAATCATAAAACCTGTTCAAGTCGTTGTTTCTCCGAGCGGAGTCGGTCCAGCTCCTGCAGTACCCGCGCCTGCCGCTGGCCGCTGGTGAGCGCTTCAGCCTCATCCGGGTTAGTCTCTATCTCATGCTCTGGATTGAAAGGAAGTCATAAATGATAGCTTGAAGACATTTCAATGCTGTCTTGAAGTACCAACAAAGAGTCCAAATTAGTAACAAAGATCGGTCAGTAGAAACGTTTTTTCTATCCGTCCGTTAAAAATCGTGTCAGTAATGTTGATTTACCAAATTAAGATCAGTAAGATGAGCAGCAGCACGAATTCACAGTAACGCAGTGACCTGATAAAAATAAGGAAATAGAAAAATCAAGAGACCCCGTACTCTGTGTGTTGAGGGCGGCTACCCTGTCCTGCTGACGTGCGAGTTCCTGTCTCACCGGCTCCGTGCTCTCGTGTTCCTCCACCAGCCGCCTGTGGGCCGACAAGCGCTCTCGGAATGCCGCGCGCATCCTGTCATGCAGCCGCCGAAGCAAATCTTTTAATCGGAGGTATCAAAAACTTTGTATTCTTTCACGGTAAATACTCTGCTAAAACTTTCCACCGAATCCGAACGTATACAATCCGATTATGAAATGCCAAAATCATAAGGCTCACCTTTTTGCATCATGTTGCTTGTTCCTCTGTGATTCCATTTTCATTTTTACCTCCAGCCCCTCGGACACTAGGCTTTGTACCTCTGTAATACAGAAAGAAATACTATTGTCTTAGTAGAATTATTGCAGGTGAAGGCAAATCACATTCTGATTCACGTTGTAAAATATCACAGATGGTCCAGAGATGTAAGTGCGGTGATCGGTGCTATAAAAAGGCTATAAAAGAACAATTCGTAGATCAATCTTAAGTAGACAGAAGAAAGGTAGAATAAAAGAAATAAGAACCCCCCCCCAAGAAAGTCTTGTGTTATAAGATAAACAGTAACAAAACCTGTTACTTTGTAATGTTGTGGATATAACTTGCCCTTTTGTAAGACATCGGAGGAGACTTTCTTCCTAGTGGACTCGTCCTGTGCGAGACATATTCTTCTGGTGACACGGGCCACCTCTTCCTGAGTATTGTCAGCCCTCTCGGTCTCTACGAAATGACAGATTCATATATATATATATATATATATATATAATATATATATATATATATATACAACACACACACACACACACACACACACACACACACACACACACACACACACACACACACACACATATATATATATATATATAGGTAGGACATAAATATATATATATATATATATAATGTACAGGACTATTGTGATTAAAATGATTATGCTACTTCTGCCCATCGCCAATATGACAGAGACATATTTGTTCTGAAATGATGTTTTCTATCGACTATTGATTCCGTGCCGGACGTCAACTGTACCTCTGAAACAAAAAAAGAACATCATTCGAGGGTTCGAACGCGGGATATTGTTCCACCAAGAATTCGAAATACAAACCGCTTGGAACAGAACAACGCTTGAAAGTTGCAGTCGAGGAAAGCTTGAATCATGGCGCCTCCTCGCCTGCTGGCGCTCCTCACGTTTGCTGTGCTGGTGCTCAGCAGCAAGGCCACCTCGCGGAAAGACAACGAACAACACGGGAGGGTGAAGAGGAGCAAATTCATCGGGCCAGAACGATTCCATTGGCCGAACGGTAAGGTGATATGGAGATACGACCCGAGGTACAACCACAAAGACAAGAGGGATCAGCTTGAGCGAGCCATGTCTGTTATCGAGAGGTACACGTGCGCCACCTTCGAGGAGCTCAAGACAAACAGTATACGGCTACCCTACTACCTGAAGGTCGTCAACGGTCCTGGCTGTTACACGACGCTTGGCTACCAGAAGATATACTATGGCAGGAGGTATGGCCGGCAGGACCTGTCGTTGTCAGCCGGCTGTTACCATGGGCACGACATCCGCACCATCCTTCACGAGCTGGCGCACGTCCTGGGTCTGTTCCACGAACAGAGCCGCCCAGACAGAGATGACAACGTCTACGTCTTCAACGATAACATCCGCTACAGCGAGCTGGCCCAGTACAAGAAGTACCCCTGGTCCGTCACGGGAAAGACAAAGCTGCCCTACAACTATGCCACCGCCATGCACTATGGATCCCGGTTCTTCACTAAAAGGGGGATGCTGACCATGCAAACGAAAGACTGGCGCGATCAGTTTATAATAGGATTCGCGGCGCCCGGCCTGGGAGAAGCCGATTACCAGGCCATCAACACCATGTACAAATGTGACAAGAACTGCAACGCAGGACCCAAAGAGTGCCTAAACGAGGGACAGCGCGTGCACAGGCCAATGACGAGCGCGTGCGAATGCCGGTGCCCAGAGGGGCTGGCTGGAGATCAGTGCGAGGCCGTCTCAGACGACACCGCGGTCTGCGGGGGTGTCTTGGAGACAGGAGAGGAAGGCGGGATCATCACAACACCGGGTTTTCCCAGCCCGTACAAGAATGGCCAGCGCTGCACCTGGCTCATCAAGACCAAGAATCCCAGCGATCGCATCACGCTGAACATCACGGAGTTCGACTTAACCCCATCTCAAGGTGACTGCTACGAGAAAGGGGAGGACACCCTAGAGATCCGGCGCTGGGGTCTGATCAACTTCGGCAGCACCTACTGTGCCAAGAACACCGGCGAGGTTCCTCCCATTCAGACCTCCCTCCTAGACAAAGTCCTCATCCGCTTCAGCGGCAACAAGGCTGACGGAGACCACAAGGGAATCCGCATCGAGTACACCATCAACAAGAAAAACGACGACAGGGAGGTGTTGGACAATTTCATCGAGGTGCCCTTCCGGAAGCTCGTCACCACCGAGAAGAAGTCCATCCCGCACATCAGCCCAGCAGACTGCGGGAGAACGTGTCTCTCCGCCGCCGACTGCAACTCATTCGTGCACGGAGACCCGCACAACTCCACCTGTTACCTCTCACTGAAGATGGTGGACCACACCAACGCCAGGCTGTTCAACGACCTCGCTGCCAACTACTTCTACAAGAAGCCCGCGGGATACGACTATTCTCCCCTGGACTGGTTCGGCAAGAAGGCCGGCATACAGATCCGTGGGGCTTGCGCAAAACCTCTGAGTAAGATGTCGCTGGAATCTTGTGCCACTGCTTGCCTCTACTCGCCGAAGTTCGAATGCAAGGCCTTTGTTTACGGCGGCGATACCTGCGCTCTCTGCTACAAGGACACCATGATGGTTCAGCTGGTAACAAACCCAAGAGTCGACACGTACGAGCGCAACGAGTACCTGGAGGTTCCTCAAGCAGAGGGCGCGGCCCAGGGTCCAGCACTCACACCGCGGCCACGCAAGGACTGTTACTACAAGGAAGACAACGGCGTAAGCTACGTGGGGACGTCCAGGCGGACGGTCAGAGGGATGATATGCCAGTCGTGGTTCTATACCAAGGGATACGGGCCTGGGAGCAAGTACATGAAGGAGAACCCCACGAAATGGCGGAAAGACAAGTACTACTGTCGCAACCCCGGTGATGACCCAGAAAAGACCCGTCCTTGGTGTTACATCGACACTCCCTGCTACGGCGTATGGCCGCTGTCGCGCTGCAAGGAAGCGGCAAACTGGAGCTATTGTAGGCTACCCGTCTGCACCGACTGATGATCTCAAGTAACTTTCAGAATGAACAGTACCATGCCAAGCAGCCAAAGTAAACAAAAAAATATACGTCTTTCTCCTGATTAGTTCTGTAGATCGCATACAGTGATGCCACCTTCAGTGACATGGCTTAACCAGACCTTTACATGTAGCATATGTGATTTTCCGACATCCATTCTATCATTTCAATCTAGCAACTACGTGTACATGTACTATCCATTCATTCTGATCGAAGAAAAAGGTCAGTCAGCATCATAACCTTTTTTGTATTAGTCATTATTTCAGTGCTTGACTTACATAGTTATGTTCTACACACAACACAGTGCGTCAATACGATTCCATAAAATGAAAATAATATGTTGCATTAATCAAACAGACTGGAATCATATCTAGTAAAAGACTTACCTGTAATCAACTGCTCCTGCGAACAAGAAAAGATGTATAGGGATGAAAAAGAGATAGGAAAACGACATCAGTATATTTTACGTTCAATCCTTCATACAGGTACCAGTGTCATTACCTTCGACAAGAATTTAAACACTTCAGTACTTATGCTAAGGTCACATTTGCAAACCGGAGCCCAGCCAGGCCGTTTGCGTGCATAAAAAATAAACAGATACTGAGACGACTTCTTGCTCGACAGTGGATCAAGATATACTAGATCCATTGAGTACACGAACATAACTTATGTGCCTAGTGCAGAAGTGAACATGTCGGTATTTTATGAGTAGAGCCGTCGTTATATGCTCAATAGGTAAAACGTTTTCACGTACACCTAGCACCTATTACAGACATCATCTAATACAGCGCCTAATTTAGTGTTGTTAACAAACTCAGAGGTTCTTGCTATACTTGAAAATGCGTGAGAAGGGCTCTCTGTCGCGCCAACTCTAGGTTCTGTCCTTCCTGTAGCCGCGTGACTTCGCTGACAACTTCGGTAAGATTCTGGTCGGTGTTCTCGTTCCAAGGGCTGCTGGCTTCCCGCTCAGAATCTTGGGAGGGCGACTGCACCAAGTCACCCTTGGGGTAAATATCTGGAAACCGAGTGGCTGAGCATTAAAATCATTTCTATTTAGAATTCAAACACTCATTTAATAAAAAAAGACACTGAGAAGGTTCATGTTGGGTGAGCACCTCTTCGTTCCTGAGCAGGATGTCCCTTGTGGGACTTTAGCTCAGTATTTAAATAAGATAAGATAAGAATAAGTTGGAGAGCGCAACAATATTGGTCTAGTCTGGTATCCATCCCTAACATAGGCGTGGGCTGATAGGACTCACGAAGGTTAAAAAAACGGATGGATACCAGCCTACATGTGTTCCTCTGTGTACCTGCTGTTTCTTCCCCGTACCTACCCATCTGACTTCTCGGTAGCCGCACCATGAACGTGTCCGGGGAGGCTCCGTGCGCGCTGCGCGGTGTTCCCGGGAGGGTGAAGGGGCCTAGCCGGGGCAGCTGGCTGGCGAAGCACGGCGGGGGGATCACCAGCGGGCTGAAGGCCACGGTCCCGTCACTAGCCAGCTGGAGGGTCCGCCGCGGTCTAGGGGGACTGTGTGAGAATTTATACCCTAGCAAAGCCCCTGATAAACTAACCAAGGTTGGCTCAAGTCCATACGAATGATGTATCTGTATAGCCGGTGTAACCGCCCTTCGGCGTAACACACCAGCTAACGAATCGAATAGAAATTTGGGTCAGTCCTATTCTATAGCAGTCTTTGCGTTTACATCAGGGCCATAACGTACGTACGTATAAGTTACATTCTTGAGTTGTAACGCACTACACTGGCGTGTGTAACCACACGGTTGAACCGGGTGAGAACAGAAGCGTTGTTCAGATCTGCAGCCGGACCTGCTTTTAGAAGAATGTAGGAAATGACTGCCGTGTTCTTGTCCTTCGTTGTGGCCAGTGATGCTTACCTGGACAGGCTGTCCTCCATGTCACGTCTGTCACTGCTGAAGAAATCGTCCGATCTCACTGACTGTCAAAGACGTCGTCAAACTCCGACGGAGTCAAACAACGCGCCATTTGTTGATCTGTCCCATGATGCACTGTAAATGTAGAGTCTACCATTCTCTGCTCGGTCAAACTTCTATAACGTAACGCGTTATCAATTTCTGTGAATTGCTTTTTTCTGCACAAAAGATAGAAAAACATCATTCAGATAAAAAAATCACATTTATTTACTCACAGTGTCACTGTAATTTCGGAAAATATTGTTAGATTAAAGCTTCCCAGTTTTTCGGTGTTGGTATCCACCAGGTTAAAGGTCAACATTTCTTGGAATAGATCGTGATGCGCAGCATTTCGGTGTTTTGGCCTTGGGAATTTTGAGATTGCTCCAAAATACCGCGTCGTCACTTCAACTGCGCTTACTGTAAGTAACACGGAGGCATTACTTAAGGAGATAACCACGACAACAGCTCGAGAAAGGCGGCGGGGAAAGTTGGTGAGGTCTCGCAGTTTTGGGGGCGGGCGGCCGCTGGGCCCGGTCCGCGATCACGATGTCGCACTGCCGTATCGCATGACAAGGCGCTATTTACGGGGATCAGTGATTCCCGTCTGTCATGTCTGGCTACGTCCGTACGGAACGAAGACACGCAAACCCCCGGAGAGCTGCCGCTGATGGACGTTCAGAGCGAGACAACTTTTCGATCGAGTTCAAGTCACCGGGATTCTGCCAAGGCTCCTGATGTTGCAGACTTTCGTCATTGATGCTGAGACGTGCCGGTTCTTACATGCCTTGCCATCATGTCATGGCGGACCGTGGTTCGGGCTTGTCACGGACGATCTGTATTTTGCTGATGCTGATGGTTTGCCTGTCCGTGAGCCGTGCTCAGATTAAGGGCGCGGGGTGGACCCCGGAGGCCTACCCTAACCCCCAGACCCAGCCCGCCCTCTGCGGCAGGGCCAACACCTTCAGAAACTCCTCCTGGATCTGTGACCCTGACGGCATCCTCACCAGATGGCAAGGTTGGTGGGTTTGATGTGTGAGGAGAAATTGTTGATTATGTCGCCATGAATGTCGTCGTTACAGGCCATGTTAGTTGTTACAATGTTTGCAATGCTCAGTTGTCACGTCTACTTTTTGGCAACCAATCTGATTGATGGACCACTCCAGTCGCAAATATTATTTTTTATTAATCAATTTAGCACCATAATGAAAGAAGTGTATGGATACAACAGAAAAGCTGAACTTTTTGGATACGTCTTATGTCATCTACAGTTGAACAGACAATCGACACAGGAAAGTCATAAGAATTACGTTTAAAATGTCAGCTAATGTTAGAATAACAAGATAAAATTTATGACTGATACCAATGTTGTTGATTAATTGTTCTCAGACCTCTACTCCCATTTTTGCCTCCTGCATCTTGCCATGAGTCTGATTGAAACAGATTGTCCATATTAGGTTCATTATACATATTAATTATTTGCTGGCTTACATTTCAATTTATATCTGTGTTTGTGTCCATATGTTTGTATCATTGTCAGTTTTCTATCTCGTAGCTAGGTCTAAGCTGCACATTGTCAGAATGTGCTGTGCCTTTGTGAAACCCAAAATGTAAGGGTGAAACCCAAGGCAAGGGCTATTGAACTTCTGATACAATGTTGACCAAACATCCAATGAAAACTGTGAAAAATCTGGAATCTGGGTTTCACGAGGACACAGTACAACATGTACATCCTGCCAACGTGCTGGCCTGAGACACTTCCAACTCTATCTGTGTGGCTCTCCTATGAGATACACACTGCCTGTCATTCTCTGTAAACACAAAACAAGGCACAAATATCTGTTTCCCCTCAGCGGATGAGCTTGATGAGTACCTGGAGAGTGTGAGATGGGAGACGCCGTGTCCCTGTGACGTGTGCGACGGCGTAGCGGACGGCTACAACATCGCCGTGGCACTCATGAAGAGTATGACTGTCACTGATAAATCGTAAGTCAGAAATCAGCGTCAAATACATTAAAATCAGCATCAAATTGTGAAAATCAGCATGAAATACATTAAAATCGGCATCAAGTACATGAAAGTTGAGATCAAAGATGTACATGATAACCATCATCAAATACATTGTACATGAATGTCATTATCAATATATACATAGAAATAGACCCTTACCCTAAAGAGGTAACCATACTGGCCATTCAAGTATATACTGTTTGAATTATAGTAATTTGAAATACTGTTTTCCTGTCATAATTCTGACTATGTTTGTGTCATTCATGAGCTGTTTATGTGTAATGTAAATGCATTGCTAAAGTGTAAGGACTTTGAATCAATGATGGTATGTATTTTGTTCTTTCAGACATAATGTATCGTATAGAGCACAGAATTTTGCCAATTACCTGCGAACGACTACATGGGACTTTGGGTCGTGTGACGAGGGCGTGGTCATCCTGATCTCACAGAAAGAAAGACGGGTGAGCCTTAATTCGTAATTCTCTTGTTACTATGGCAACAAGAATGAGCCAGGAAGGATCATTGCATAAGTTTTATGGATAACATTTCGGATCAGGCTTGAAAACCTTTTTTCTGCATACCTGCAGCTGCACTGGTACATGGTGAAACAGTATTTACACTGGTCCGGACTGTCCTTCCTGGTCTATCCATTGTAAAAATGAGAAAGTCCCAAATGACAAGGCTGCATAATGATGATCTGTCCCTGCCTACCAACCTTTGGCTAGTTTTTTAAGGACTGAGATCCGAAACGCAACATTTTTCCTCAGGCCTGAGGGGTATCTGGGGTTGGTAGATACACAGAACAAATGTCACTCAACTTCACCTTTTAGCTCTTCTTGTGTGTATGATTGTTTCTTGTGGGACACAACTGAAGATGTAGGCATTGAGATAATTTAAGTTGCGTTGTTTTATATCTTAAGCTTTTCCCCTGTCATGCCTATCTAGAAGTCACACTTTTAACATGATGTTACGTGCTGACAATATAAGCTTTTATTCTAAGACATGATGTTTGGATTTTGATGTACATGTATATAGCATCAGAATAACAAACAGCATCATAAAATATTTCTGCTACATATGATACACATGTACATGTAGCAAATTGGACAGTTTGAACTTTCTCCAATACCAAAAGAACACTCACTGATGACTTTTTGACTGTCTTCATTAGCCTTCATAAAATGGTTTTGGTCAGCCTTTTCTTGCTTAATTGGCATTGGAGCAATTTTAAACTTTTCCATATGTCTCGCACCAACACCGATGAGTTTTTATTCTGAATACATAGCATGGTGACCTTATCATGATCGTCACTTACGGTACATTGTATCAGTTAATAATACAATACCATAGCTTTGTATGAAATTTTATTTTACCACTCATCTCTTCCTCATTATGTAGCTTAAACTACTAGGTTGGAATAAATTATGCTGGTGTGTCATAAAATGCTCAAATATTTAGGAAGACGCTTTGATGATTTTCATAAAGCATCTTCCTTAAAGCTTTGTAGCTGGGCTTAACTTGTCTTGTCTTGTCTTATAATACTAATATAGCCTTTGGCCCTTGTATTAGCTGCGTTTTGGATCTGGATACAGGTAAACATTCAGAGCTCTGCAGAGCTCTGTTTTTCCTCCTTTTAGAGCTTTACATGTACCTTTATTGCACTTATGTTATTATGACATTTACTGTCACTTGAGAAACACGAAGGTGCTTTGACTTGTCTGCATGTTTGTAGCTGGAAATTGGTGCTATAACACAAGAGCTTTGAAGTTTGAGAAAATGACAATCTGCCCTTATGACATACAGGGAGCAGCTTGGCTTTTCATGAACTTTTCACAGGTCATTGCAATGTTTCATTGCAAATTTGCTGATTGATTACTCTTGGCTATAGTAGCAGTGGATGATGAGCATAAAACCAAATTAGCCAATACATCCTTTCTAATCACACAAACTATTATTCACAAATCAAAATCAAAAATTAATTTTATTCCCTTACCCTCAAAGTTAACCTCAAAGTGATATTTCCAGACTTTATTTGGTCACATAATATCATATACAATTAGATGTATAGCTTGTTTGATACCAGTATATTACTTTTTTTAATAAGACAAACATCTCCTAAACTGTCAGATGAAATGTCATTGGCTTGTTTGGACTTCAGCTATAAGAGAACATACAATTAGACCTTGAGTATGTGAACATTCTTGTATTTTTTTCTGTCTATGGCAACACTATAGCAAAAATCGCGTTTTCTGCAGTAGTTGTTTCCTGCCACTGAAGTTGCAAGGAAAGCTGCTGTTTTTCCCTGTACATTTTGTGCTGTAATTAGTCTTTTTTTTTCTTTTCTTTTCACGTCTGTCCCTCCTCCCGTCTCGGACCTGCCTGTCTGCGTGTCCAGGTCTATACGTCCCGGGGGAATCAGGTCAGACTCAAACTCACGCCGTTCCGCGTCATCACCATCTACGAGAAGCACCGCGCCTTCTTCTCGCTGGAGGAGTTCCAGGACGGCATCGCCGCTCTCATCCACGACTACAAGAAAGTTTTCATTGGGACTTACCGAGACGTGGAGGAGACGGCCAAACAGGACCTGAGCACGGTGGTCAGCGGCGTCTGTGTAGGGATGTCCTTCTTCTTCTGCTGCGGCTGCTGCATGATTCTGGGGAAGCACGAGCGGGACATCCGCCTGAAACCCAAGCCCAGCAGTCCCAACTGGGAGAACAGCAGCACGGGCAGCAGCAGGACCCGAAACACCGACCATCCGCTGGAGAGGCAGGACGCGGGAGTGGCGGGGTTCTCAGGCGACGCGGGGGGAGCGGGAGATGCGGGGGGAGGGGATGGAGGGGGAGGAGACGGTGGGGATGGTGGCGGCGGCGACGCTGGAGGGTTCTAGCCAATCGTAAGGGTACCAGAAGGATGGTGGTACGGTGGTATGTTTGATAAGCAAAGTTCTGAAAGGAAAAAATACAGGGATAGTAGACAAAATGAATTAAATTGTTGCCTTGCTTGCCTACTCTTGAAACTCTTCCAACACAAATCTACTGTGATAGACAGGTGCACAGGTTTAGAGACTTGTTGATAATGTAAAGTGATAGTTGTGAGTTTAGTCTTAGTACTATAGTGAGACTATATATACTATGTTTCTGCCTGTAGAAATAATTCAGTTCTCTATGGTCCCCAGGATTTATTTCTGGATGGTGACCCATGAACGACCAACATTTGATTTCTATGACGTTTGATTTGACTATGACCCATAGTACGGTTGGAAAGACAACAAAACTTACAAAATACACCTCTTTATCAAGAAATTTGTTGCTCAATGGTCGTTCAACGGTCACCACTTGAGCAGAAAGGAGGACTAACAGCCAAATGCCAGTGCACAAACATCCAAACCTCGTGTTGATACTTATTTATTCTGTACATAGACAAATTTACCAGGTAAAGTACTTTATTGGAACCTACCAGATCAAATCTGGGACAATCTATACAACAAATGATATTTATTTATTTTATTTATCAGTCTGTCATATGGGACTCCCCATCATATTTCTCTCCAAAACTTTTTTATGGAATAGATGCTGACAACACATAACTGCTTATGTTATAGTATAAGTTTGTTAAGGAGGCTTGTATTCCCTTTTAATTAGAGTGATGTGAAAAAGGCTGGTTGAATGAACTTGACGTGTAAAATAATGTAAAAAGGCCTATGTTCACTTCATGTACTTGTATCATTGTTAAAGCTGTTCTGAAAGTTGTCACATTTTGTTGACTGTAATTCTATGTTGGAATTCTACATGAGGTATGTTGTGTGTCAGTTCATGTACACATGAGGGAGAAAAATTAAATTTGAGTCTTGCTGTGTATTTTCGTGTTGCAGTCATTTTTGTTGTTGCTGAAAGATGTTTTCACGGATAGTTTTTATAAGCAGTCTACATAGACATGTCATAACATAATGTAACTCCTTGAAACACTCTTAAAACAACAATATTTGGGAGGTAGATAATTTAAAGTAAATACATACATTACATAAATCAATATTCTTTTAAAATCCTCTACTTATTCTTCATTCTACAAATGGTACCAGAATGGTTTATGCAGTGTTACATAATTTTTGCCATGTTCTGTTGGCTGTCAGTAATTTAATGAGAATCTGTGCATACACCCTTTCATGGTTTTGTCAAATGACAGACGTGATGACAGCGACATGGACACTGTATGAACTGCTTCAATAGGCTTTCATTCAAATGCCCACACAATAACTGCACTGTCCCAGGTTGACATTTTTTCTGGCTATGGCAAAATGTCATTAGGTCCCTTAGCATCTGTGTCTGTCGCCATTCCTTCCCCCCTCTCACTTTCCCTTCTTTTTTCTCTTTTTTTTCACATTACTCGCGGACCTGTGTGACCAGATCTATACTTCGGTCAACAAAGAAGTCGGACTCAAACTGACCCCCTTCCGTCGGACCAGCATCTATGAGAAGCGCCGCGGGCTGTTCTCCCTGGATAACTACCAGTTGGGACTGGCCACCCTGGTGTTCGACTACAAGGCCGTTCTCATCGGTACGTACCAGGACGTGGAAGAGATGGCCGAACAGAACCTGAGCACGGTGGTCAGCGGCGTGTGCGTGGCCCTGTCCTTCTTCTTCTGCTGCGGCTGCTGCCTGGTCCTGGGGAAACACGAGGTGGAGACACGGGGAACCATGACTCCATCTACCAGCATGGGTACAGAGACAGCCGAGCTGATGGCGGTCAGGCAGCCCGGCCAGGGCTACACCAGCGTGGCGGGGTTCGGCGGAGGGGACGCCGGCGCAGACGCTGGTGCAGATGCTGGGGGAGACGCCGGTGGTTTTTAGATGTTTTCCTGGGAAACACTGACTGAGTGGTACATGTACATACCAGCCATAGGAAAAAAGTAACACAACCCTGTGTACTGTGTTTAGTGTCACTTCTTTCTTTGATACCCTTTTTTCCAAAAACCACAGTACTTTTAATGTCTGACACAAAGTTCCTAATTTGACGATATCAAACAATAGCATGTTCTGTAACTGTGCTGTAATTATGCAGTAGGACAGTAGGCTGTACACAGAGTTGTGCTTTTTTTTCTGCTAGGAAACAATTTAAGCTTATGCCCTTTTGGTACAGTGTTCTAGTTTGACGTGTTATTGTTTGACGGCTAACCCCCACCTCAAAATGCACTGAAGGAATTCCTTGCAAGGACATGTTGGATTTTTGAAGCCTTTGCAAGCATTTGGTGTTTGGACTGTTATATGAAAGATACTGATAAATCCTACACCAGACACCAAAGACAAGCTGACCCAGGACAAGGCAAAAATGGGAAATAAGACAGAAGAGACCAGCAACTAAGGAATACTCTTTGAAGGACTGGCAATGATGATGACATTGACAAAGAATGGATGATGGAATAGGGATAACGTGGACATTCTTATATGGACTTTTTTCCAGTGAAGAGTATTTTTTTACTGTAAACTCTGGCTCCAAATACGTGATCTCCAAACAAAATAGCAAGTCATTTTCAAAAGCAGTTGCCTTTGGCAAGGTATTTTTAGAATTTAAGATGTGGAGTTTGACTTAACTCATTAAAGATCCATGGATGGTGGCATTGTCCTGATTTAATAACTTCATTCTGTCGCTCCGTTGAAATGCACTGGTCCTGGAGTTAATGTGTTAAGTTGTCACTATGTCTTTACTTGTGTCCCCTTTAATTTGGGTGCCCTGTACCTCTGTAGAGAACTGTGGGCCACAAGTCCTATCTATACTTCTCAGGGCTGGAAGTACCACCTGCTTATGCAGGTTAGTGCAGGTAAAATTGGAGATGTGCAGGTATTTTTGATAACCACCTGTTCCTAACCTGCACTGGGGCATGACAAAACCAGCGCCGGACACTAGCTTTAGGGGGACATACATACATGCATGTATACATGTATGACCATTGGTGGTCAAAAACTGACTTCCATTCTTCAAAGTAGCATCATTGAAGACAGCAAAGAACAATAAAATTTAAAATGGTGCTACTAACTACACTATTTTCAAAACATTTCAATTTCTTCAAGAAGTAAAAGGCAAAGTCAAGATATGACAGTCTATAGCCACAACTTATGAACAAAGGCAGTCACTGATCAAGGACTTCACAGAATCAAGTAGTAGGAGGCTGGCAGATTGATTATAACACATCCTTTGCAGGGACTGCTACCTGACATGTGGTTCTTCAATTAGAGAAGAAAACATGATTTGCTGCTACCCATGCATGCACAGATTTTAGGTGATTTATGAAATGACAGAATTGTTGCTGTCATAAAACAACCATGTGTTGTTCATTTCAAAACAAGATATTTTCATATGTTGTTCATTTATTCCTATCAAGTACATCATACATGTATTTGGGGACACTGGAGGTCTTCCATAAAGTCAAGTCACTAATAATGTTTTGAAATCTATGCAGTGTGAAGCAGTTTGCTGCTATTGTGACTATGCTTGAAAAGTT